GACCGATGAGCCGCAGCTCTATATAATATTTATATACCTGACCGGTCTCTACCAGCCTGGTTAACAGTTGGGATGGTTCTCAACCCATTCAACTGCCCGTATAGTGGATCTTAGTCCTATATAATATTTATATACCTGACTGGTCTCTACCAGCCTGGTTAACAGCCGGTATGGTTCTCAGCCCACCCGACTGCCCGTATAGCCCGATTGATCTCAACCAACTCGGGGTAACATGCACACATAACACATAGCAAGCACATACAACCCACATTATCGCATTGGGAAGGGGGAGAAAACGTATAACAAAACCTATGCGTGATCCTTCACATACTAAGAATAGTCCTAAGGGTTCATACTTCTTTCACCTTGGTCAACGGGATACCAATTCAACTAGCATGCAACATATAAGATTCATACGACCTACGAACGGTACTCGAAAATCAAACTAGACATAGGCACGATAGACGGAGTCCGTTGGGACACCACGGGGGTCGGGGAGCATCAAACGGGGAAGCCGGGGTCCTGAAGTGGGGTATAAACCAGCGGGTAGCCGGTGGGTGGGGGTCACCCGCCGGCTGCCCGCCGGCGTTATACTAATCCGGGCAGCGGGTGCCCGGCGGGCAGCTGCCCGCTGCCGGCGTTGCCTAATTTGGCTGCGGGTAGGTGGCGGGTCCCCTACCCCCACCTACCCCCCACTGACTCTTTTTCATCAAAAACGCCCCGGGAACCTTTGTGGAACCCGAAACCATGCTTAGACGCTTTCAAACGCAATTGATAACACACGTAGACAATTAACGGATCAAAATCAAGAAACAAACGGCACATAACCTATCATGCTTTTCTAAACATAATAAACACCCAATCATGCGAAATCCCACCCAATATACCAAGAATAATACCATACGAATTCCATGATATAACCTAGGGTTCTAATTATTTTTAAATCAACAAGAACACGATTCATCTTCTAATATCAAGATTCGGTAAGAATATTATATAAACACCAGGAACATCCTACAATCATCAAGAACATCATATAACCATCAAGAACGTCATATAATCATCAAGAACACCATAATTATCAGGAACCTTTCATCATCAAGATTACCCATGGAATTATCCCATCAATCATCAATAATAACACAAATCATCAATACACAATAATATGGGGAAATCCTAAGAGGGGAATCATAGCTATGAAAATAGGTTTTGTTGAGACATGGGTTACCTCTTAGCCTTAATTAATTCCTTGGCTATGAAGGGTCTTTCTTTAAGCTTTCTTGCTTTCTTGATTTCTTCTAAGGGGATTCTTGGAGCTCTTTGGGGTGGTGGAACGTTTATTGTGGTGGGGGGTTCTAGGTGCCTCTCAAACCCCCTATTTATATATTTAGGGGTCCTAGTTAGGAACTAATATTATAGGCTTGCTAATTCTATTTCTTTTGGGACTAAGGATTGGGTTTAGGGATAAGGGCCCATGGACTATGGTGGGCCTTTCCTAATTAATTATTGTGATTTAATTCTTTCTTTTGGGTAATTTGTTAAATGATTAATTGGTTTTAGGGATCGTAACACGGGGTGTTACAAATATTCTCTTGCACTTTTACTTTCTCAACTCTTTCTTTATTTTGTTTCTTTTTCAAAGTGCATAACTCTTTTAGAAAATTCGCATAGCGAGGTACCTTTTTCATAGAATCTAACAATGGGTTATTGCTCTCACATTCACGAAATGTCTCATATAAATCATTATTTGAGTTTCCTCTTGTTGTTTCTAAAAGAGCTTGAGGAAATGGGGGGTACTGGTTCATAATCAGAAAAAGATGAAAGTTTACCTCGGGACTTCTCTTTATTGTTGGCAATGTTTCCTGCACTTGTTTCTTTGTCTGAATCAACATTCTTTTCCAGCGACATACTACTCATAGTAATTGCACTTACATTCTCTTTAGGATTAACAACCGTTTGAGATGGTAATTTTCCAGAACTCTGTGCCTCCAACCGACTAACCGTAGTTGCTAGTTGGCCCATTTGTCTTTCTAAGTTTTGAATACTATCCCTTGTTTCTTGAATACTAGATCGTATCTCTAGTTGGAATTTTTGAGTCTCTTGTTGAAACTGCAAAGTGTTAGTAGCAAGAGTCTTAACAATGTCTTCAAGATTCATACCTGAGCTAGAGCTTTGGGCTGGTTGTTGTCTTGAAGGAAATGGTTGTCTGTACTGCTGAAAATTGGAATGATTCTGAACAATCTGGTTCCCTTTTGAGTTCCCATAGCTAAGATTTGGGTGATCCCTCCATCAAAGATTATATGTATTGGAAAATGGATCATACTTACCTGCTTGAGGTTGTCCAGGAAAACCTCCAGCCATGTTAACTTGTTCAATAGGTTCTTCTTTAAGAGTTAGGTAGGCATCAGTTTGGTGTCCAATCACCGAACATATATCCACATGCTTTTACAGTATGCATATTATTGGTTACAGCTAATTAACGAACAAGAGTAGTTAAACCAGAAATTTGTTTTTCAAGAGCAGAAATATTTACCACATTCACTTGCTTAGACGGTTGGACAATTTTATCCTCAAAGCAATGTCAATACATCATCACGGCACGCAGGCCGAAAAGAAAACTATCTATCTAAGCCTCGGTCCTCTAGCGCGCTCCGGAGCTACACATCTGTGCCTGAAAGCCAAATATATATGTTCAGCGAATAATGCTGGTAACCCACTCCAACGCGTTAAAATACAATATAGGTATATATACACACACACACACACACACACACACACACACACACACACACACACACACACACACACACACACACACACACACACATATATATATATATATATATATATATATATATATATATGTATATGTCTATGTGTATATATATATATATATATATATATATATATATGTATGTATGTATGTATATATATATATATATATATATATATATGTATGTATGTATATATATATATATATATATATAGATATAGGAAAACCATTTTGAAGCAGGAAGATATATACTTAGGAGACTCTAGTTTTTAAAACCGAGAATAGACTCAACAAGTAGGGACAAGGACATTCAACAGTTATAATCATGCATATAAAGATACTAACATATATCCTAAGGTCACAAGATTTATTTCACATCATTCATATCATTATTCAATCATTATCTCAACACATAAGTACACTTTGGTGGCGCCACAGGACCAATCGCATGCCCATACATGAGGGTCAGCGCATATAGCGCTAACACGGCCCCGCAGCACCCTGCCTCGTATCGCAACACGAAGGGGTTGATCGCAACCAACAGATGAACTGTAGCTCATTATAACGTTTGATCGCAACCAAACAGTGGACGGCAGCCCAATAGTGTATTTCTGATCGCAACCAGATTATGAACCGCAGCTCATGTAAAACGTTTGATCGCAACCAAACGGTGGACCGCAGCCCTATATAATATTTATATACCTGACCGATCGCAACCGGCCTGGTTAACAGTTGGTATGGTTCTCAACTCATCCAACTGCCCGTATAGCCAATTTGATCACAACCAAATTGGGGTATCATGCACACATAACACATAGCAAGCACATGCAACCCACATTAGCATATTGGGAAGGGGGAGAAAACGTATAAATAAACTTATGCATGGTCATCTACATACTAGGAATATTCCTAAGGGGTTCATATATCTTTCACCTAGGCCCACGGGATACCAATTCAACTAGCATGCAATACACAAGACTCTTTTATCCTACGAATGGTACCCGAAACATCAAACTAGACTCAGGCACGATAAACGGAGTCCGTTGGGACACCACTAGAGTCGGGGAAACATCAAACGAGAAAAACTACATTCCCACTTCGGAATTTCAAGCAGGTGGCCGGCGGGTGTAGGACCACCCGCCGGCGGCGAGATGCTGGGCAGCGGGTGCGGCTGCCCGCTACCGACAATGCCCTTTAGGGGCAGCGGGTAGGTGGCGGGTTCCCCTACCCCTCACCTATCCCCCACTGACTCTTTTTCAATACTTGGGTCCCGGGATCTTTTGTGGAACCCGAAACATGTTTAAACACTTTTAAACACAAACGACGACACCACGTAGTCAAGTAACGGATCAAAACCAAGAATCAAATTGAACATATCCTAACATGACTTCTAAACACAAACAACCCCCTAACATGCGAATTCCCACCCAAATATACCAAGATTATCACAATACGAAATTCACGATTCAACCTAGGGCTCTAATCACATTTAAATCACAAAATCATACTTTATCTTTAAAATCAAGAACATCAAGATTTATCAAGAATCAACACACAATTATCAAGATCCTCTTATAATCATCAAGATTATCAAGATCAACACATAAGATCATCTCATCAACATCAAGATCATATCATAATCCTCATAAAAGATTTATCAAGACACAAGCATAGAATAAGGAGCCAAAGAAGAAGATTATAGCAAGGAAAATACGTTTTGTTGAGATATGGGTTACCTCTTAGCCTTAATTAGAATTCTTGGCTATAAAGGTTCTTTCTCTAAGATCTCCTCTTCTTGATTTCTCCTACGTTTGGTGATTTGGGGATTCTTGGGAATTCTTGTGTGGTGGAATCTATTGTGGTGTGAATTCTAGGTGCCTCCCTATGTCCCTATTTATATATCTAAGAGTCCTAATTAGGGTCTGAATGATACGAGTTTACTAATTCTATTCCTTATAGGACTAAGAGTTTGGTTTAGGGATAAGGGTCCATGGTCTATGGTGGAACCTTCCTAATTAATTAAGGGAATTTAATTCTCTTTTAAGGGTAAGTAATTAAATAATTAGTTTGGGTTAGAGGCCGTAACACGGGGTGTTACACCCTCCCCCCCCCCCCCCCTTGCAAGAGGCTTCGTCCCCGAAGCTGGTGCGTGGATCCATTCTTTCGCCCCTGGACGTCACGTATTTTGGCCTCCTGATTAGGAAATGTGGCTGCACGTGTCGTTTTGCTGGTGGTAGAGTGGAACTTGGTGAGGTGGTGTTTGGAAAGTTTGGGTCTACCTTGATTTCCTGTTCCTAAGTTAGATGCCCCGCGTGTGCCCAACATGGCCTCGATTGCTGCCACTCTCCGATCTAATGCGTGCGTTGCGTGGATTAGCGACGAGAATCCTTCATCCATGATTTGGTTTTGCTGGGTGAGTTGCACGAGGATACGCTTATTGACGGATCCTTCATTTTGGCCTTCCGGATTCCCTCTCTCTTGTGCGGGTGCAGGTGGGTTAGGCTCACTATCTTCCTCCTGTTCCTCTTGTTCTTCTTGTTCCCCACATTCTTGCATTGCCCGTCTTAGTTTCTTGTTGGAGATTTCCAACTGATCAACCAACTCTCATCGTTCTTCCGTGGGCTTTAGACAAACCTCCTCGAGGGTGATGTATTGTCCCTCTCCGATATGGTATATGTCATTGCGGCGGAGGTTCTGGGCATTGAAAATCATCCCACTTACGGGTTTGATTTCCGTGTGGCTTAGGTCCACCCCTTTCTTTTCCATGATCCAACTTAGGATCATCCCGTAGGGTAGACTAAGCCGGTTGCTAGATTGAACTTGACCTTGTGTTTTAGAAAATAGGCATAGGTGCACTCTAGGCTCCCCACGTCCTTGTTCTTGTTATTCGTGGGAAACAAGCTGTCAGTTACAATCATGACTAGAAATTTCTGTTTGGCGGTTAGCCATTTCCTGTTTGGCTGGGTGGCTGAGGTGAAGCCATCTTCCTTTCCGAGTAGGTACCCGAGGTAATCCTTGTACCCCGTGCCTTGGGTACCGATCCATGCCTTTCGATCATAATCTGACACACCTGTTGTGGTCAGTTTCAGGAGTTTGGCCAAGCGGCCTTCGGAGAGTACTATCTCTTTGCCTCGGACCTTGGCGGTGATTTCCAACTTGTCACCCCGTTTGACGGCTACCAAGTGGCGATAGAATTCTTTCACCAACTCGGGGTACGTATCTCCTTTGATTGTGAGATAGGTATCCAAAAGCCCTTGGAAACTAAGCATATCGACCAACTCCGGAGAGAATTGGTCGGGTTCGAAGGCTTTACCTCCGATCACCATGTAGTCGGCGTCGTTCCACTCCGGGGTTCGGATACCAACGGGCTTCTTCGGCATTACGAGATTCCTCAAGGTGGTGTTTTTCCTCGTGATATTTTTCCGGCGAGGCTCCAGCAAAGCTCCGGCGAAGATTTTTCGGCGGTGAGGCGGCGATGCGGCTCGGTTTCGGACGGTGAGGGTGCGGCTGGCAACGGGGGAGCGACGGGCGACGTCCGGGTGTTGCGTGGCAGTGGGCGAGCGACGGGCGGCGTCCGGGTCATCGACGGCAGGCGTATAGGGGCGGCATCGGTCGATCGCAGTGGCGGTCGTCAGTGGAAGCAGGGTGGCAATCGTCGATCGGGTTGGATGGCTGCACGGTGGTCAGTTGTGGAGGTGAGGGGCGTTGGCAGTTTTGTGGAGGGGAAGAGAGAGAGAGAGAGAGAGGGTGAGTGAGTGAGGGAGAGTGAGAGGAAGAAGAAGGGTTTTTGATTTGGGGGTTTTGTGGGTTTTAGGGACTTTGGGGGGTTTAAGAAGGAAGTGTTCCTTTAAGGTTTCAAGAAATATTCATAGCTTAGTGGTTTGGAACTTGGTTTTATAAGTGGGAGGTCTAGGGTTTAATCCCCATTGATAACATTAGTCTTCTTTGTTGTGCATCTTTTGGGTCTTTTCTTATCCTTCCTTTGACCCAAAGTGGTAATGGGTTTGACCGGCTCCCTTTGTTGAACTTTTGCCTACATTGTGTGTTGACTTTGTGACTCTTGGGTTTGTGGGGGATGTTTTAGTCCCTCTTTTCATGCTAATTTAATTTCCCTTGTCTCTTATTCATAATAATTTCTAAATGTCTAAACTAAACAAGTGGTTTTACTATGAGGGTGGTTTACAAGGGGTTCACTAATCATCCTAAGCAGAACTCTTCTCCCTGGTTTTTTTCTGATTGATTTGCGGGGTCCTCGTCTCCTGGGGCCACGTTTTCTTCGTTGAAGTTGCCCTTGTCTTCAAGATCGGTCTGAGTGCGGCTCATGACGAATACTTTTCCCAGAGCATTGTAATTCCCTTGATTGTTTGCGCCCCCGTGTTGGCCCATGACTGTAGGGCGCGAGTTTGGGGGTTGAGTGCATTGGAAGAACTTGTGTCCTTCTCCCCCACAGTTGAAGCATTGCTAGGGGTTTCCCATGTAGTCCTTGGCTGAAGGGTCTCGTATTAATTTCGTTGTTTCTCAGGGGTGGCCCTTGGCCAGCTGGGTTGCTTGGCCTCGTGTTAGTGTCGTTTCTTTTTCTTTTCACAGGTGGTTCCCCACCTCCCGTGTTCCTCTTACGAATCTGTTCCTGGACTCCACGCTGTAGTAGTTGAATTCGATAGAGGTTGGCGGCACTGGAGTAAGCTTCGTTGAGGATTCGGGGTACGCTCACGATTAGGGCTTTTCGGGCTTCGAAGTTGAGGCCCGACACAAACCTTTCTATCTTGGTTGTCTCTGTAGGGACCAATTCGGGTGTGAAACGGGCCAGTTTGAGGAACCGTTTGTGGTACTCCATGACAGTGGCCATCCCTTGTTTTAAGTGGAGGAATTCCTCGTACATGGTTGCTTTTATGTGTGCAGGGTAGAACCGTTCTCGTAGTCGTGTCTTTAGATTTTCCCAGTTGAATCCCGGTTCTTGTTTGTAGGGGGGTCCCTCGTGGATCCACCAGAGGTTGGCCTCGTGTCCGAAGTAGAACGAGGTTATTTCTACGCGGCGCTCTTCTGGGCATTCCACTAACCCGAGGATTTTGTCGAAGGTTAGAATCCATTCTTCGAGGATTGCGGGGTCCTCTTCCCCCGAGAAGATGGGTGGCCGATGATTTGAGACTTTCCGAGCGACATCCGAGTTCCCGTTTGGTGGTGGTGGTGGTCGGTTGTTATTACGGAGAACTACGTCGCTCAGTGTCTGGGTAACCTGAGTTTGTTGCTGTAGAGTCTGAGCCAGAGGATCGTGAGTGGTGGGTTCAGGGGTCCTTGATTGCCTTCTGTTTGGGGCCATGCTGATGGTCTACAGGGCCAATGTTTATTGTAATGATGAGTTAGTGTGTTGCACCCTTACCTTGATGCGATAAGCGTAGGGGAAGTTCTTTAAATTAAGTGTAGAATAGAGTGATGGGGAAGTTATGTAGTGATAGGTGGGCTCACAATCTCACCGTGCGTCGTAAGATTCCTGAATCCTATGTTCCTAAATACCTAGAGTTCAAGCTTAATGTCCTAAGTCTTGTCTTAAGAGTCTTATCCTAGGGTCAAACTTAAGCTCTGATACCAACTGTAACAACCCTAAAATTTAAAACTTTTAAAAATTATAATAGGAAGATAATTCTATTATTAAATCCCGAAACAGAGCATACTAAACATAAGAGTTTGGGGTGCTATGCCACATCTAGGTGGAGAACTCAGATGCACAGGCTATACTAACTAAATATCCTCAAAGCAATGTCAATACATCATCACGGCACACAGGCCGAAAGGAAAACTATCTATCTAAGCCTCGGTCCTCTAGCGCGCTCCGGAGCTACTCATCTGTTCCTGAAAGCCAAATATATCTGTTCAGCGAATAATGCTGGTAACCCACTCCAACGCGTTAAAATACAATATAGGTATATATATATATAGAGTTGCACTCGGGTGCGAACGGCTCGCCCAGGCGCGAAATAGGAATGGATTCTGTTCGTCCACGTGTCCAGATCTAATGGATGAGAAACACTGATTTTTTAAAAAAACGCGGTGGCATTTTCGTAAATAATTGAACATCGAAGTGCAAGTAAAATGTATTACAAGTGCATGTAAAATGTATTATAGATGCAAGTAAAAATTTACACTGAGCATCAATACTTAGTTGCACTTATAGTTCTAAGTAGTTGCACCTATAGTTCTAAGTAGTTGCACACATAGATATAAGTAGTTGCATCTAGGTGTATGAATGTTTGCGAGTGGTTTTCAGGAGTATTACTACCCGCTGAACTCAGATCAATGAATGTTAACAAGACAAAATTACATACACTTATAGGTGAAAGTAGGTGCACATATAGTTATAAGTAGTTGCACCTATAGTTATAAATAGTTGCACATATAGTTATAAGCACACACAGGTGCATGAATGGTTGCGGAAAGTGAATGCTAACAAGGCAAAATTACATGCACTTATAGGTGAAAATAGGTGCACTTATAAGAGATTTTACTTGCACTTCGATGTTCAATTATTTACGAAAATGCCACCGCGTTTTTTTTTTAAGTTATTAGATCTGGACACGTGTCACGCGCTGATTCGTTCGCATTTCTTTCCTGGGCACTTATTCGCACCTGAGTGCGTCCCTATATATATATATATATATATATATATATATATATATATATATATATATATATATATATATATATATATATATATATATATATATATAGGAAAACCATTTTGAAGCCGGAAGATATATACTTAGGAGACTCTAGTTTTTAAAACCGAGAATAGACTCAACAAGAGGGACAAGCACATTCAACAGTTATAATCATGCATATAAAGATACTAGCATATATCCTAAGGTCACAAGATTTATTTCACATCATTCATATCATTATTCAATCATTATCTCAACACATAAGCACACTTTGGTGGCACCATAGGACGAATCGCATGCCCATACATGAGGTTCAGCGCATATAGCGCTAACACGGCCCCGCAGCCCCCTGCCTCGTATCACAACACGAAGGGGTTGATCGCAACCAACCGATGAACCGCAGCTCATCATAACGTTTGATCACAACCAAACGGTGGACCGCAGCCCAAAAGTGTATTCTGATTGCAACCAGATTATGAACCGCCGCTCATGAAAAATGTTTGATCGCAAACCAAATGGTGGACCGCAACCCTATATAATATTTATATACCTGACTGATCGCAACTGGCCTGGTTAATAGTTGGT